CAGACCTTTCCCTGGACTAAAAATAAATGTTTTTTATTATTTTAATTAAGCACCAGATGTGCAGACTTTTTTCTAATATTACGTCTGGCAGAAGCTCCCCCAGATAGTCATGTTTTTTTTTGCATAATACGATGAGGCAGATTAGGTTCAATTTTGCTTATTCTGTGACGTAAATTTTTTTCGAATCAGCGATATTCTTCGGAATGTAAAAGTAAAATTTATCAATCAGGAGCTTAAAGATGGATAGTTGACTGGAGCTGACGAAATGCCAGCTGAGCTGTTGAAAAAAGCCGGTATACCTCTGATATCTGTAAGAACATGTGGTTTGTGGTTATTTTTTATTGGTCATTACTTAAACTCAGACATTTAACAACAAAAATAACTTTCAGGTTTCCTTTCGACTGGAGATGATTTGGTACCTGGAAACGCTGGATTGAAAGATCAGAATTTGGCCTTAAAGTGGGCCAATCAGTACATCCATCATTTTGGTGGTGATCCAACCAAAATTACAATTTTTGGTCAGAGTGCTGGCTCTGCTTCTTGTGCTTATCAGATTATGAGTCCGTTATCTAAAGGTACAACGATATGGGATAAGTTAAGTTTTGTACCAGTGAAGTTATAGGGCATATTGAGAAAACGACCGGTTTGTGAAACCGACCATTCTACATAGATAGTACTGACATAAAGAAGAAAAAACAATATTCTTGAAATTTCTGTTATTTGTTGTCTCATAACATACGAGGGTGGTCCCAGAAGTACCCGGCCTGACCTAGAGATGGCGATAGTTGTTTGAAAAATATCATTGTATTAGAAAGTATGCAACCTATAAAGCATATGTGTCAAGTTTGAAGACGCCACGTTGTTTAGTATTTATTTGGCAGCCATTAATACTGAACGTTTTCAGTGAATTTGTAAAAATGGAGAAAATTGGTAATCGTTATGTGGTACAATACTTTTATTTCAAAGGCCTCAGCCCAACCAATATAAAAGCTGAACTGGACTTTACTCTGGGCGAGTCTGCTCCTTCGTTTACAACAGTAAAATATTGGGTAGCAGAGTTCAAACGAGGCCGTATGAGCTGCCAAGACGAGCATCGCAGTGGGTCCACCAAATGAGGTGACGACTCCAGAAATGGTGAAGAAAATTCACAAAGCGGTACTGGATGATCGTCGACTGAAAGTGCGCGAGCTAGCAGACATAGTAGGCAATTCAAAAAGTGAGGTTCATCGCATATTATCTGAAAATTTGGACATGAGAAAGCTGTGTGCAAGATGGGTGCCGCGATTGCTCACAATCCGTGAAGATGTGTCAATTGAGTGTTTAGCGAAGTTTCACAGCAACAAAGAAGAATTTTTGCGTCGTTTCATAACCATGGATGAAACATGGGTCCATCACTTCACACCCGAGACAAAAGAACAATCAAAACAATGGACTCAAAAGGGACAACCGGCTCCAAAGAAGGCGAAGACCGTTTCATCTGCAGGCAAGGTTATGGCGTCGGTTTTTTGGGATGCGCGTGGGATAATTTTCATTGACTATTATTAACTTATTACAACGTTTGAGCGATAAAATCAAGCAAAAACGGCCGCATGTGGTTAAGAAGAAAGTGTTGTTTAATCAAGACAATGCACCAGCTCACAAATCCGTTATTGCAATGGCCAAAATATAACGAATTAAAGTTTGAATTGCTACCTCATGCACCCTATTCACCAGATTTAGCCCCCTCGGATTATTTTCTGTTTCCAAACTTGAAAAAATGGCTCAGTGGTCAAAGATTTTCTGACGATGAAGAAGTGATGTCGGCAGTTAATGGCTATTTTGAGGAGCCTGATATCTTATTATAAAAAGGGTATCGAACTTATTGAACATCGCTGGGAAAAGTGTATAGAGCTCAAAGGAGATTATGTTGAAAAATAAATACATTTTTTTATAAAAATTTTGTGTTTTCTTCGTTGAGACGGATACTTCTGGGACCACCCTGATTGCTGAAACATTCCTCTATTATCGCTTTTTTATTAACATTTTAGGTTTGTTCAGAAGCGCAATCTTGCTCAGTGGGACATCGCTAAGTCCATGGGCGTACCAAAGGAACTACCAGTTATATTCGAGGGAATTGATCAGAAATATAGATCCTGCAAACTACCATAAATATAATACTTCTCAAACTATTTACGAGTTTCTCAAAAACATACCAACAGAGATAATTAATGATGCTTGCTTGGCGATAGTAACAACGGTAGGCTAAAGAGACTTACAAATAAGATTAGAAAAAGATAGTATAATCCAACGAAATTTTAACATCATAATAACTAATTGAGGCCTCACACGGTAGAGCCCATAGATAGCAATTTACGCATTTATGTAATCATTATTGAATTTATCAAATTATAAGCTTGGAAATATTCATCAATTTTTGTTTTGTTTAAGGTTGTTATAACGCGAGATCAGAGCTTTGTCCCTCAGTCTTCTCAAAAGTAAAAGTTTGTTGTAGGATGTACCATTCTCTTCAGCCCATTGTAAACCTAGCTCAAAAGCGTTAATTGCGTCTTGTGCTGTGACTTGTGGAGCAGTTGCAATCACGTCGTCGTTACTTTCCTGATTGTTTGTTGTATAATTAGAAACCTCTTTTATAATTTCTTCGTCAGACATTTCATGAAAAACATTTTCCTCTTTATCCATTCCACGGCACCAGATTTCCAAATCTTCCGGACTTATCTGTGTTTCAGTAGCGACTTGTTCTATAACTTCCGAAGTTACACTGATTTGTGGAACGTTGCTAGGAGTGGTGACTATATCTGGCCAAAACTTTTTCCAAGACGATTTAATAGTTGATGACGGTAACGCATTCCACGACTGACAAAGAGCAAAAACCAAGTCTTAATATTAGATTCTTTTAATGTTTTTTCTATTGGTTGGTCTTTTGATACGGCTCTCAGAAGTAGGTTTTTCTTATAGTCTTGCTTGACAAACTGAGTGATATTCTGGTCCATTGGTTGAATCAGTGCAGTGCAATTTGGCGGAAGAAACATCGCAGTGATGCATTTATCCTCAGATGTTAGTTCTTCTTCAGACGGATGACCGGGAGCGTTATTAAGAAGCAACAACGCTTTTTGAGGAAAATTATGATATTTTAACCATTTTCTAACTTCAGGTACGAAGCATTCATCAAACCACTTTTTGGAAAGGTCTTTTGTCGTCCATGCACTTTTTTGTCCGTAATAGTGTACAGGTAAATCAATGTTTTTGAATGCCCGTGGTTTATTAGATTTCCCAATGACCATCATCTTAAGCGCGTGTGTGCCCGCAGCTTTAGCACATGGTAGTATGGTTACACGCTCTTTACGTACTTTTCGTCCAGGTACGGATTTTTCGTTACAAAAAACGAAAGTTTTGTTATGCATCACACGCCAAAAAAGCTCTGATTCGTCTGCATTGTACACCTGTGACGGGTCAAGACTTAAATCGTTCATCTTTTGCAAAAATCTTAATTTAAAGGGCTCTATGCAGGTGGCATCGTTTGAAAGTTTCTCTTCTGTAATAGTCATTAAACGTATGCCATGACGACTTTTAAAACGTTCTAGCCATCATTTGCTGGCCACAAAATCATCTTTTTTTGTTATTTTCTTATAAAAAAACTTAGCTTTCATGGCCAACATGGGTCCTGAAATTGGTGCATGCCTATTTCTTTCCTGGAGAAACCACATGTACAAAACTTCTTCCACTTCTGGATGTTCAGCTGTCTCTTGCCTGGCCCACAGTCAGTAGTTGACACGAATTTCTTGATCTTCCCGTGGTTCTTTTAATGTCATAAATTGTAGATCGGCCTACTCCGTATTCACTTGCTAAACTACTGAAAGTTTCATTGCGATTTAAGCGGTCTAAAATATCACATTTTTCTTTAATTGTCAATGTTTTGTACTTTCGCTTCTGTTTGAGTTTGTGATGACATTACTAGGTACACTATACTTAATACACAATGAATAAATAGTAAACAATGAACGCACGCTAGGCCGTACCGCTATCACATGTAGTCAAATTCAAACTAAGTAAAACAATGCTTACGCGTCGAGCACGATAGCGGTGGCGCGTACAAGTTGTAACCTGTTCAAACCTGCGCGATCCTCATTAGCGAAGATTGTCAAATATGTATGTATGTAACATTCAAAGACATGTCGGATTAGACAGGGGCCGGATTATCGGGGGTCCACTGTAATGAAAAGGTAGAGATAATGTTTCTTGGAACTGTTCAGGTGGAGGGTTCAGTCCAATCTCACTCAATCTTCTTAGGAGAAATGAGGGCTTCTTGGTAAATATCAGGCGATTTTTAGATCACTTCATTGAGTTTTACTTTTTTGTCATTGAAACAACGCTCATTTTATCGAAATCAAGCAAGGATAATTTATTCAGAATGGATATATTATCTTTCAGCCGTTATTATAAATTAGCAATATTGCGCTGTAGCTAGGACGTCCCTGTCGAACTGAATGTGATAATTGCTTTATATTTTTTATTTGTCATATGGTACGTTATCCGCCTACTATGATGTAAAAATTTTGTTAGTAGAGTATACGATGTGGTTTAAAATTTGGGGGTGGTGTGAAACGAAGCGCCAGATAATATCGTCTTAGAATAACTGCAAGAATTGCAACATGACCTGACCCGGTTCAGGTGTATAAAGTACAACTTAGTCACCATACGCATATGCTTATTATCTTCCAGAATCCTAAAAGCTATCTACAGTTGTACCAAGGATTTTTCTTTGCGCCGGTATACGAGCACGAGCACGATGGTGCTTTTTTGACCAAACAGGCATACGAAGCTATGGAAGAGGGAGATTTCAATAAAGTACCAGTATTACTCGGTGCTACTAGCGAGGAAGACTATTTCCTCATGGAAGGTAAGTCAGGTAGTATACAGGAAACCAAACAAGCTACTTTGTCCCACCGACCCAAGAGATCCAACCATTGATAGTTGTTTCGTGCTGTTTGGCAACTCATCAGCATGGTATAGGCTTTGTCTCTGCGACAGCGAGAAAAATGATAGCCACTATTCTCTATCGAAGACAGTATCTTTGGTCGGTAGCATGATGCTTAATATTGTTCAATAGTTATTAGATCACATGTATTATGCCGCCAGAATCGTCAGCCTCTAGCGGTTATAATGGTGACTGTGCCATCAAACAATATATATATATACTCTCGCAGTGGTCGATTCTGGTAACAGATGGCGCTCTGCGCTGAATTATTTCGATAGTATACAGGGTTCTCCAACGATCTCCAAAAAAACTATAAATTTCGAAAACAAGTTGTTTCTATGGATGTTATATGACATGTACAGCTGTGTATGATCAAGGAAATCCCATAGATATAATATGTCTTGTTTACGAAAGAGCTTTTGAAAAGTTCCGCATAAACATTTGATGTACAAAAATTGAGCATTTTGATGCACGAGGTAAGCTTTAAGATTGGATAGAGGCATTTCTTACTGACAAGTAAGTCAAATTATTCCAAGAAAAAACAAACGAACTGTCAACTAAAATTCAGATAAATAAGATGTATTGTCATTGTACTAAATAAGATCACCTTTGTGATTGAAACGTTTACAGCGAAGAAGATTCTGTCAATACATGTTGTTTTGTTGGAAAGGCAACTATACACATAAACCACAGGTTAAGTGTTACTCTAATATATATTGTTACATTAATGCATGACACCAGAGTGCTACAAAATTCAGTAAGGGTAGTACCGTCAGTCAGTCCCACATTTGTAGGACAGCTTTATGGCCTCCTCAATTTTCATAGCTTTCTACTGTTCCGTGTCAGCACTCCATTTTGAGGTTATGTCACAAATATCTATTGCAGCAAATTGTTCATGTTTTTGATTTGTTATATCAGCCTCAAATTTCCTACAGTTCAAAAAGAGAACAATAGTCTCACAATAGGAGAGCACTGACGCTGACACGGACAGTAGAAACCTAGAAATGCCCCCCTTTCTGAAGGAGAGAAGAGACTATGGAAATCAAGGAGACCATAAAGGCGTCCTACAATTGTAGGAACGACTGACGATACGGCCTTCAATAACTGCTTCTAACGTTTGTAGGTGTTCAATTATATATGACAGAAAGGATGAACCAACCATTATCCAGTTCTTCGACTTTCCACAATAAACAGCACTGCATTAGCCTGCTAAGATTACGGTAGTTATTTATGGATAGGTGGCAGCGTTGCGTGTGAAGTGCAGAGTTAACCTACTTTGCCATTTTTCTATTAGCAAACTTCGCATATGCAGCTTTGTACTGCACTCTTATGATTTTGGCGACAAATACCATTATTTTAGAAACAACATTCTCGTTACAGATAAAGAAGGTCTCGGTTACATATCTGAAATATTCACACAAAGTCGTGATTCAATACCAGATGATATGCATGTCACTGAGGAGAATAAGGATACCATCAAAGCTGAATTGATGAACTTTTATACTTCCGGAGGAAACTATGTGGACAACCCTAGGAAACTTGTCACGGTACGTATAATCAGATGTGACTCAATATTTAATCCACTCTGAGCACAATGCAAAAATTGACCAAAAAGTGCTGCAAACTGTTAAGCGTTGTTCTCACGGCAACCCGACTTCAACACAATTACGCATCTGCCACACAACCAGCAGTCTGGCCGAAAATAATTGCATAACGTACTTAACAAATATTTGTAAAATCTAGCCAGTTGAAACTTTTGAACAATGAAAAGGAAAAGTGTAATACGAAGAATAGTCGGATATATTCTAGAGGATGATTCTTGTTAAAACATATGAAAAAACTTCCTATAAACATGTTTTCAAGATACGGGAAAAATATTTGCTCCATTCTGTCAAAAATTTGCCAATATTATTTGTTGTAATACAAGACACATTTTTCAATATTGGTTTTCCGAGGCAGTTTGGATTTTTTTAGCAAAAATTAATAAACCAATTTTGTCCAGTAACATGCAATAAACCGGTTTTTATTTTTTTCTCGGAACAATGCTTAATCAAACAACCAATATTAAATTACAAAAAAGGCAGTGGCGTACATTTTTTTGCCAATAATATTCGCCAAGTGCCACGCCCTTCTTTTGGTTAATTAATAAAAACACAATGGACGGTTGGTCCAAGCAAAACAGTTGTCTGGTGGCGTGCAAATTCAGGCCCTAGCTCAATAAAGCGGAGAGTAGGGAGTAGTAAGAGCGCCAGTGACTTAGGACGGATTAAGCCACAACTCCCCTAGATGTTAGTTGGAAACACACAAAAGGAGAGTCTAACAGAGATGACGAAATAAATCAAGATATCAAATGAATCACAATATATTGATTAATAAAAAAAAACGCACATGTGCACCACTACTGAAGTGCGAGTAATAAAAAAAATAAAGGATGTTATAAATCTTAAATACAACCTGACAAAATTATTTTTCGAGATAACCCCGCAAAACGTCTACCGTAGTATACGCCCGAAGTATTTACAGATATTTTGCGCCTAAATATTCAACTTATCTGTAGGTCTTCTTTGTCAGGCGCGGCCGAGACGTCCTCAACTCTGGTCAAAATGTGGCCAGTAGTGGGCACGTCACTGGGCAGGGGCTTGCTTGCCTCGTTGCAAAACATTATGGTAGTAAAAAAAACCCTAGAGAGAGGAAGACTGCTTAAAAATATACTCTACTCTCTGTCTGAGATAAAACTACTCATTGAAAATAATTGCACTTGAAGTAAAACTATGTACATTTTTTTTGGACAAGAAAAGTAAAGTAAGGCAAAAAAGATAAAAATGTACTGAACTAATATACCCTTGTTCTATGGTTATGGCAGCTCAAAAATCAAATCATGATCAATGCAATAGAAGGTGCTACGTAGGCACTGCCCCCATATTTGAATACGTAGAATGTCCAATAAAATCAAGAAGTCTCTAAGAATTTCAATAAGCAATAATAAATGTATAAAGATCTATGAAATTATAAATTAGAATGACATTTTATCTGTTCACATCAGGTTTTTTTCCAAGGGATGGCTTCCACCAATTGGCAAAACTGCAACAAGATGCAACCAACTGGAGGAGAAAGGATGATGATTATCTTCTGTTTCTATTGACTAAAAGAAAGCAGATATTGAATGAACGTCATCAGGACACGCACTTAGGCACGTGGTCCGAAGGTATATAAAAAGAACTTACCACTGAGGGTCAAAATCCCATAAAAGAATGGAAGACGTAGCACCCAAACCAAAATGACTAAACTTAAGTTACACAAAAAAAAGGGTCCTAGTCCATGAATTGGCGCTTGGGGCCTAATATCCCAGAGTCTGGAAAATGACGAAACGACCCCTGCACCACGACCTCAACGGAAACAGCACATGTAACGTCCTAGAAAAAGGTATCTTGAGTGGCCTTGAAGAAGATCTTGTATGTTTTATAGGAAACCAACTAACGGAGAAAAACTACAGTTGTTTGCTGATCGTCAACACCATACTGAATCGCTGAGAAAGAAAGATATAATAGTGAAATATACAATCAATAAACTATTAAATTTGTCAAAAGAAAATCAGTGAAGAGTGTTTGGCCTAGGAATGGGCACTCTATTATCAATGAAGAGAAATTCAAACTACGGATAAGTGATAAATAGTAAAAAAGGTTGGCCCGTGACACAAGATGCCTTCGGGACGTCACTGGTTCTAATAATTTTATCTACTTAGGACTAAATCAGCCTCTTCATACAATAAATACTATCGCCAAATTTCAACAGAATCGAATTAATTTTTTTACGATATCACTTAAAACAAAAATAACAAGGAATCACACTCTCCGTCTATTTTTCGAATACCCTGCATAGTATTTAGTGTAACTAAATTACCATCTTCACGAAACTATTTCAACTCTGCCAGATGTTTACTAAAATTCATACAATTCGAAGATGGAATGGAAGTCCTTGGCCTGACATGACATAGAAATTCCAATGAGTTCAAGACATCTTGTTCAAGGAACCGGGGACGAGAAGGGTCTACAGGTGGATACCGCATTTGTTGAATGCTGATCAAAAGCGGATGTGCAAGCGCCTTTCCAGCAAGCAATGTTTGGACCAGTTCAATATGAATCTGACCGATTTTATATGGCGATTAGTTACCACTAAACGGCAGAAACAACAATTATGGGGAACTGCTATTCCAACACTCTTGATCAACTGTCAACCAGTCTTCCACTTCGGAGAAGGAATCCTTATGTCGGAAACGTTGGATCAAGTGTGTTCGAGTCGAAGGAATTCTGTAAAAAAATCTAATCATTTTTCAACTGAAAATCATCGCAGTCTGTCATTGTCAGGCCGAGAAATGTTCAACCTACTTTTGTGATGCAACTGCAATATTATCTTTTGATACTACAAGAAGTTTTGTATTTGCAAGAAACGAATAAATGTACGTAATTCACCATCGAATAGACATTTATTAAGTTTTTCTTGTTGGCTTCTGAATCTTAATCCGTCAAGTTATCTAATTTCCTGTGATTCAATGAAATCTGTGATCAGTGATATGTATGACTGTATTATTACTTTTCATGTGAAAGCTCACTTAATTCGGTGATTATTTTCAGCTTATGAGTGATCATGATTTTGTAAAATCTGTGCTAAAGTTCGCTGAGCAGTTGGTGAAAACACTCGCAAAAACCCATACCTCTACCAGTTCTCTTACAAAGGTGTCTTGGGTTTTCACAGAAATCAGTCAGGTAATCTTATCAAAGCCAAGTATATAAACTATAGCTAAGTTTACAATTTCACTATGTGCTGGTACTCCATAGATCATAGGAAAATAAAATTCAACAAATCAAACTAGGATGCAAAGCATCAAAAACAAAGTATGCCTCAGATCTTATTTTTGTTTAATAGTGTATTGAGTTTTTTTCTCACATAATGAGCCGTATTCATAAAAGAGAAGCATATCCTCGGAAGCGTAAGGTATAAGCATATCCTTGTTTTCATATTCATAATGATTACCTTATACTTGCGAGGTTATCCTCCAAGAAGAAGTAAAAGGTTGACTGGTATTTGTATCTTGAGCGACATGTCCTGACTTGTTTCAGCTTGTGGTTGGCGTGGGAGTTCGCTCATTCAGCATCACTGACAGTTGTACCCCAGAGCTTACACAGACCGTTCCGTATTTTCACTGGATACAGTTTTTATCAAATTAATAAGCATGTCATCCTCAAGTTATGAGGCAACTATAGAAAATAATGGCAACGACCTGCAGTTCATCGCAGATGAAATTGCCATTGCTCCCATTATTTTCCAAAAGTCACAAGTGCCAAAAATAAAAATGAGAAAGGACGATGCCTAGAAGAAGATGTTGAAAAAATAGGAATCAACATTCGGTAAACCATTAGATACTAAAGGCTTATTAAAAAAAATCAACAACATGAAATCAAGATTGAAAAAAAAAACAGATATAAGAAAAAAACTGGTAATAAAGCAATTAAATTGTTAGATTGGGAAAAAAAGTTGCTGATAGCTATGGAAGGTGACTGTAATCCTACAATTGGGAAAATTAGAGGTGCCATTCAGGTTGGTAGTGTTCAAGAAGAAGGAAGTGAACTATATACCGAGCGCAGTGAGCAAACAGTTGGTATTACAGCGCAAGCAATGCAGAAGAGATTGCCACCAAAAAGAAAATTAGTACCAGAGAAATACGAAACTGAGGAAACCAAAGGGTTAACTACAAAAGAACTGCAACGTCTAGTGCTGTTACAGCAATACCAAATAAGCATTTTACAACAAGAGTATTATAAAACGAAATAAGAAATGATGCAGCGTCAGAGGCCACCTGTATCTTATGACGTTCACGAAAATAAAACTTATTATAACTATAAATACAGTTTAATCAGTAAAACTATTTATTATTGTTGACCTAGTTGGCGGAGAGGAAGTTCGTCATTCTCATGATTTCCTTCATCTTCGTCTGGGTCTTGTTTAAACTAAATCAAAGTCAGGATCGCCCAAGCTCGTCGCAACATTATGGAGTACAATACAAACAATAATTATTGTCGGAACATTTTCCAATTTTACGCGGCGAATATACTGTAGGATAGGAAACCGGCGTTTCAGTTGGCCGAGACAGCATTCAATTATAACTCTTTCTTGTTTTAAATTGAACAACAAAACACCACCATAGCTGCCCTGAGTGGTCAGTTATTATTTTTGAAGCAGTTCCTCACACCTAACAAGTCTTATGCTGCAGCAACTGAACCATCAGGTATAACAGAATCAGTCCAGTCAAACGCGGCTACCGCGGCTATACTGGCATCGTCGTCAACATTGAATACTGTAACAACAGCGATACCACCAGTTTCAATTTCAGAGACGATGCACAGGGGCGATCTTACTTTCGACAAACAGCTTATAAGCAAAACGCTAGTCGCAGAAGCTATACATAACGCTAAGGCTAACAGTGTTTGCAAGACTTTAATAAATTTAAAAATGATTTTGATAAAGAAACTAATGTAGATGATGGCAAACGTAAGCCCAAAAATTTACTAATAGGTAGTATGTCTGGTTTACAAAGGTATCCCTTAAAGGCCTGCTACAGCGAAATCTATCAGACACAATCATGTGACGCGCCTTGATCCACAAACAGACGAAAAGATTCTCTCGGATTATTTGAAAGCAGTTGCTCCAAATGTAAAGGTCGAGAGGTTGACAGCCAGATATCCCGAGAGGTACTCATCTTTCAAGGTATCTGTTCCAGTCGACGAAGCTTCCACCATTATGGATAGTAACATCTGGCCTACAGGTGTTCTGTTGAACCGATTTTTTCGAGCCAGAAATACCAAAGGAGATTTCAAGAGATCAGAGCGTGGTGCAGATGGCCGGCGTTCAAGAGAACTGTGAGATGTCCTCTCATTCTGCAGATAAGGACTGTTCTACTACATATGGTCTCTCAATAATGCATTTGAACATCCAAGGCTTATCTAGCAAAGTAGATGAGCTGTGTTTGTGGTTGAGTGAATGTTACTTTGATATAATTTGCTTATCGGAACATTGGCTGAACAATGATAAATTGTATTCGATTAATTTTAATAGTTACTTTCTTATTTCTTCCTTCTGTAGGCCTGCCAATGCGCATGGTGGCGTTGCAGGTTTGGTTAACAGTCATTCAGATTTCAAAGATATTGATCTCGGCAGCTTTTGTATACCATTTCATGCAGAGTTTTGTGGAATTGCAGCCCCATCTAAAAATATGGCTGTGATCACCACATACAGGTCATCCTCTTGTGGTGATATAGCCATATTCAAAGACAAACTAGTTTTTATGATTGATTATTTGTATCCTAGATATAAAATCTAATCATACTCGGTGATTTTAACATAGACCTTACCAGCTGCTCGCATCTTGCTGCTGACGTTATTAATGCCTTTTCATCATATGGTCTCTCACATTATATTAGCGAACCTACGCGTATTACTTCTTCCACCAGCTCCTGTCTGGATAACATACTGACGAATATTGATATTGAGAGCCGTATTACCGGTGTTCTTGATCTAAACCTTTCTGACCATTGTGGAATTTACATGTTCATTCGATCAATCAAGCAAGCCCGTTGTAGTAGCTCCTTTAAGATAAGAAACGTTACTAGCAAGGGGCTACCGTTATTCGCCAGCAAGCTTCACGATTTTGACTGGTCTTTTCCTGAGAGTAATACGCGTACTGCTGCTAATCTAGCAAATTCAATACTCAATGCTCTAAATTTAGGAATTGATGCTTGTTTTCCTTTGCGGAAAATTGATAATACGAATAATGGTTTGAGATGGTTCACAAAGAGGCTCAAATATATGCGCAAGCAATTATTTAGATACAAGGAAATTTTTAGATCAATAAGGTTAGAGCAAGATTGGCTAGCCTTTAGGAACTGCCGCTATGAATATAAACGAGCAATTAAACTGGAAAAAAGGAGCTTCTATTCCAAAAGAATACTGACAACTAATAATAAAAACAAGACAGTTTGGCAAATAGTCAATTCAGAACGTAATCGATTAAAGTCCAATCATATAGAATCCACTGTATCTTCAGATAGCTTCAATAGATATTTTTCCACAGTTTCAAAGAATATAGTATGCTCAATTGACAATGAAAGTGTTGCCCCACTTACATTGCTGAACAAGGTCCGAAAACCATCTATGTCTTTCTTTATTGCTCCAATTGTAGAGTCTGATGTTGCCGAAGCTATTCTCAAGCTTAGCAACTCTCCTTGCTTGGACTACTACAGTTTGAATAGCTCAATGCTTAAAAGAGCTATTGAGTCTCTTGTTGAACCACTTTCAATTCTTTACAACAAGTGCATTTCTGAAGGGGTTTGGCCTGACTCGCTCAAGATTTCAAAGATTCTTCCTCTTCATAAATCGGGTGATGCGAATGACCCATGTAATTATCGGCCAATAGCCATTGTGCCCATCATAGGGAAAGTTTTTGAAATCCTGCTAAAGGACAAGCTATTATCATATTTCGAAAGAAATTCATTACTATCCACATGCCAATATGGATTTCGGAAGGGAAGCTCCACAATCAAAGAGCTGCTTGATTTAGTGGAATATGTTGTTGATGGATAATGGTCTTAAAACCTTTACTACTGTGTGCGATCTTACTAAAGCCTTTGATTGTGTCAATACTAGTATATTGCTTCTAAAACTGGAGTACTACGGTGTACGAGGTAATGAATTAAATTTGTTCCGATCATACTTGACTAACCGGAAACAATATGTTAGTTGCAATGGTTACGACTCTACTCTGCTCCCTATTGATAACGGAGTTCCTCAGGGCTCGGTGTTAGGTCCCCCTTTATTCTTGGCCTACATAAATGATCTGCCGGCGTCAATAGATCACAGTTTGTGTTTTATGTTCGCAGACGACACGACGTTATCAACAAGGGATCATCAGGAGTTAAGCGTTGATGGCTTGGAACAGGCAAAGAAGTGGTTCTCGGTGAACAAACTGAAGCTAAATGACGCCAAAACATCTTCTATCGTTTTCAGCTCTGACAAGTGTCAACCTGCGTCTGATCCTGTCAAACTCCTAGGAGTTAAACTGGATACGGCACTTACTTGGTCACCGCACATTGATCTCGTCTGTTCCAGGTTATCCACGCAAATCTTTGCAATTCGACGGATGAGTGAATATTTGGATAAACGTATTCTAAAAACAGTTTACATCAGCCTAATCCACAGTCAGTTGTCGTACGGTGCCCTCCTTTGGGGGAACGCTTCTGGATCTTTCAAAGCGTTCACACTCCAAAAGGCAGCTGTTCGCATAATTGATGGTTCGAAATACGGCACACCATGCCAACCACTTTTTAGAAAACATCGAATTTTACCACTACCAAGCATTTTTATATATGAAACGCTTTTACATATTCATAAAAACCTCCATAAATATGTAACGCATTCCGATGTTCATGATCATGATACCAGGTCAGCAAATAACATCAGAGTTCCCTTTTCTAGATTACGTTTATCCAAATTGAACAAGCCGGATGTCACATTATACAATTTATTTGTGAACTGTTACGCAGAACATGATGTGAAAAATATGAATGTCTACAAATTCAATAGACTATTGAAGAACTTTCTCATAGACAAGTGTTTTTACAGTGTCGATGATTATATTAATTATGTAACTATATTTAAAATACAAAAATCTGTGACTTCAAATGTACAATAATGTATGTAATGTAGTCAATAAACTAAACTAAACTAAACTAAACTAAACTGATTATTATGATTATTCTTATTATTATTATTATAATTATTATTATAGTTATTCTTCTTCTTATTATTAGTATTATAATTATTGTTATTGTTATTATAATTATAATTACTAGTATTATTATTATTATAATATTAGTATTATAATTATTGTTATTATCATTATAATTTTATTATAATTATTCTTATTATTATTATTAATATTATATATTAAAGTAATTATAATTATAATAATAAGAATAATAATTATAATAATTATAGTAATACTAATAATAATAATAATTATTATATAATAATAATAATTATAATAGTAATTTTAATAACAATAATAATAATAATAATAATAATTATAAAATTACTAATAATAATAATAATTATAGTAATAATAATAATTATAATAATAATAATAATTGTAATTATAATAATAATAAGAATAATTATAATGATAATAATAATACTACTAATAATAATAATAATAATAATAATAAGAGTTCGATCGAAAGATTCTACTTGCCAAGATCCAAAGGAGGACGAGGCGTGATTGACCTTAAAGCAGCTAACCTGCGGAATATAGAAAACCTCAGGAGATTCTTTTATAGAAAGGGCGAAACATCTGCATATCACAGAAATATAGCTTCAG